CAAATCCTGTGATAACACGGCACGACAGGTATATTTTTCCATAATTGAAGCGATTAAGTATAATAACATTCAAAAATTGTACTAAATTCTAAATATTTGTTATCTTGCATGTTACAATTAAGATTAAGAGGCCAAGTCATAGCATTTGTTTAAAAACATAGGGTAATCAGAATAAACCAAAGGCCCATGTGTACATGCCTGAGTAACAATTTCAGAATCAATTGGATTCTTTGCAAAACTAAAACTAAATACTGAAAATGCTAACCCTTGCAATCCCAAAAATCTCATACCCTAAATCCCAACTCATTTTTAGCTCTAGTTCTTCTCTCATCTTCCCCATCTTTTACTTCCCCAACTCAAATAGTCTCATGCAGTTCAATACCACTAATTTTAGAACAAACTCGCCAAGAAAAGTAAAACAAAATCTCAACAAAACCAATTTCAACTAATAAACCCAAATCGAAGAAAATCAACCTTGGTGGCTTGCTAGCAAGTAAAGCAAAAGATAAATAAATGACAACCATAATCTCAATTTTCCTCCTTCAAATATTAAAAACCCAAACGTAATCTGCAGCATTGTCCTTACACCTCCACCCACTCTCTTCTCGAAAATTGAAATTTGAAAGCAATACCTTGTGTAGAAGCCCGTTCTTTCGACCAGAGTGCGCCGTCGAGCTTCCTTGCTGAAACCATATTTCTAATTCTTCGGCCACTCTTCCGGCCGACTTTGAATGGAGGGAGGCATGAATTAATGTAGGGTTTGGGTTATTTTTGGTTTTTATCATTTGAGCTCGTAAATAATTTAATTTGGGAAAAAAGTACAAAACTTATCGCAACATTCAAAAAAAGTTGCACAAAAAGGCTTTATATTGAGAGTTTCAACAACATGCTCCAAACGTTGCTATAGAACCAGATTTCAACAACGTTCAAAAAACGTTGCAAAAGCCTAAACTTTTCACAACATTTATAAAACGTTGCAAAGTGCAACATTAGCAATATTTATTTAAAAGTGTTGCGAAAGCTCAATTATGTTAGCAAATAGTAACATTCACTTGCTAAAATGTTGCGATAGATCCCTTTAACAACATTAATCAACTTTGGTGTAGTGTATCTTAGTTTGTTTGAATAATCTGTTTGCTTAACAAACTAATTGGTTCTATGGAAAACAGAATCAATTAATATAAAAAAAAAAAAAACTAGCTTAAGCATTATTGCAGTTTGGTTATGGACAATTTTGTGATTTGAATTGGATTTAATGTTTAACGAACAACCTTGGTTCCTAACAAGATTCATTATTATGAAGAACGAGATTTAACACTATGAAGATAACTGCCTCCACATTGATCCCTCGTAACTGTATCAATGTGAAATAGGCCACTACACCCAATTGGATTAGGTGTGAACTTGGATCACATGTTATGAAAGGTCTGCAGACCATGTCTCGCTTTAGTTGAACAGAACTCCAAGATTACTGGATAAGTAAAATTGGACAGCTCCTCCGAGAGTGAGTTGAGTTGGTTTTGGGATGGAAGCCCATGTTAACCAACTAATTTACAGGATGAGAGGTTGTATGTAACCATTGTTTAATGATCTATGTGCATTTACTAAGAATCAGTGGAATGACATTAATTTCTTCCTTCTTTCCAGGTGAATAAGACTGGTGGCAGTGTTAAGTGAATTATTTTGGGAAATGTCTGAACTAAAATATATCTTCAAGAACTTTAAGGGAGAATTGGACCCTTGCTACCCCTTGTCCTATGGGATTTTCCTTAGCTGAGGTCTAATGTTTATCAGATTTATAGCTTTGTTGTTTGGTCATGTCTTTTTTGAATGTCGCACACATACTACTTGTTATGTTACTGCAGGCACGACATGGTAACCGTGCTCAACGAGCCCCTGAAGTTCAATCCTATTTATTGTAATAGCAGTTGTTGCTAATTTTATAGAAAGGAAATCTAGAGCTAGGAGGATCATCGTGAAATTCTCACACTATTTGAAGCCATACTATTTATTTTCTGTATATCCTGTTAAATTAATCGAATCTAACTTTGCGTACTATTTTGCAGGTTTCCCATGGAGAGCTGAAAATGAAATGTGAAGCACTTTGCTTATAGGTTCTTGGTATCTTTATCATTTTGGAATTTCACTTCATTTCTGTACAACGATAAAATAATTGAGTGAGAATGGCTTGAACAGGAGATTATGCACAACTGTTATTTAGTTTTGCTGTTCTGGTGTTTCACTGCTTAATACATTTAATGGCAATGCTTCCCTTCTATATGATCGGGATATCTGCCGTATTAATTCTGTTCTAGTCCAATAGATGTGAACTGGGATTTTTGCTAACTCCNCCTTCTATATGATCGGGTTATCTGCCGTATTAATTCTGTTCTTGTCCAATTGATGTGAACTGGGATTTTTGCTAACTCAACATGACATGACGCATGAAATGACGCACAACATTTGTAATCTTAAACTATGGTTGTGCATGAAATGAAGATAAATGACGCACAACAATGTTGATTTTGATCGATGACTTGAAAATCTTATGGTCTTGTGAGGTCGATGTATATCTTTAGTTGACATTCACTATGAAACTTGTGTTGTCATGGACAGTTAATGAACGTTTATTTAACTGAACTTGAATCTCAACTTGTGGAATCGAATTAATTGCATACAATAATTGTTAGGCAATTAGCGGGAAGGAAAGAAGTTGATCCAAGGGTCCTGACTCGAGAAGTTGTCACATGAATAAAATAAAACATTTTTGTTTTCAAGAAAGAAATGGGAAAAAAATGGGTTTTTTTCCATTTTTCTTTTTTTCTTTTTTTGGTACACTGTACTCTACGAAGTGTCAAGACGGATAGGCAGGCCAAACCCATGAAAATCGGTCCGAATCGACCCGGGACCGCGGGCCGACTCGTGACCCGAGCAGGCAGTTCACAGGTCAAGAAGGTTGACCCTTTTTTTGGTTGCACATTCATGAGCCGCGATTAACCCGCTGGCTTGTGAAAAAAAATTTAATTTGAAAAAAAGTGGGGGAGATAGCCAACCTGGTTGAGATGTATTTAAACTATAAATTATGATAAAAGTAGGTGCAAACCTAATTGGGATATACTTATACTATAAATATTATAATAGTAATTAGAAATGCATTTAGTTGTTATTTATTTAAGTTAAATTTA